ATGTCCAACCTCTGGGTCATCACAGGGGCAATTCACTGAAAACATCACTTCTCCCTGCTGCTTCCCTGCCACAGCCCTTGGGGCCAGCAGTTTTAACTTCAAACCCTTTGTATATTTCAACCTACAGGAGCTACCTACGCCTTGTGGGTATCAGCGCTCCCCACGGCCTGGGCTCACCTGGTGACCTGCCTTTCTCTCTTGGAGTCCTGCTCAGCTGCGCACTGGGTGTGGGCCTCCATCCCCAGGAGGTTCTCCATGTGCACTGACTCAGGAGGATCCGATGGAGAGTCTGTCTCCCAGCCAAACGGTCAGTGTTTGGAGGGCCTGGGAAGGTTGGCCCTCACCTGATTTGTCCCAGGGTTGCCAAAGCTTGAGAGGCAGAAACAACATAAATTCATTCTCTCACAGTTTTGGATGCAAGAAATCCAAAATCAAGATGTGAGTAGGGTTGTGCTCTCCTCAAATGCTTGAGAGGTGGATTCCTCCAGTTTCTGGTGGCCTCAGGAATTCCTTGGCTTGTGACGTCATTCTAATCCCACCTCACTTCTGTGTCCTTATATGGTGTTGTGTATGTAATGCACACACGTGTGCGTGTGCATGTTTGTATGTGTCTGTGGGTGTGTATATGCCTGTGTGTGTCCTTGTATGGTGTTCTCCTGTGTGTGCACATGTGTGTGTATGCATGTGTATGTATGTCCTTGTATTCTGCCCTTGTATGTGTGTTCATGTATGTGTCTATGTGTGTATGTGCCTGTGTGTGTCCCTGTATGGTGTTCTCATGTGTGTGCACATATGTATACACAGGCCTGCATTTGTGTGTGTGTGTGTGTGTGTGTGTGTGTGTTTCTGTCAAACTGCAACAGGGACTTGAATGACTTTGCCATAAAGATTATATCTGCAGAGACCGTTTCCCAAATAAGGTCACAGGGCATTAGGACATAATGCAGCCCATAGGACTCTGGCATCACTTAATACATAGAAAGACTCGTGTTCCCATGAACAGCCACCCAAGCAAGAGTGATGAGATCTAAGTAGGAAGGAAGGTGGCTTGGAGAAGGCAGGTTGGACCTGGAGAAGCGGAGATGCAGCGGCCACATTTAAACCCTGCCTGGGGGTGGAGCGAGGTGCACTCAAGGTTCTGCTCTGCTCTTCCAGGGCTGGCCTGCAGGAAGGTCCTTCCCAGAGACAGGAGCTAGCAGGGGAAGGCTCTTCAGGAGAGATGACAAGAGCAGAATCTGTCCCTGAAACATCACACAGAAGGCAGGTGTCGGGGAGTCCCATGGGAAGGTGGCCAGGTGCGAAAACGTCAGCATTGATGAGGAACTGAGTCAGGGCTGTGACAGCATGGCCTCAGGGAAAGAGTGCAATCCAAAGAAAAAGAAGAGGAAAGGGGATAGACCGGGCCTGGCCTTCCTAAGACCAGGAAGGAAGGGGGCTCACAGGAGGAGGTGCGTGCTAGGGCTCAGGGCTGGAGACAGGGAAGATGGGGCCTGGTACCTGAAAATGCAGCCCAGGGAATGGACCAAGTCTAAAAGGGAGGTGTGTGGTTTAACATAAACCCCACACAATTAAGAAAGCAGGCTCATGGGTGTGCCGATTAAGTAGCCACTGAGGCAGGTTGTGTATGTAAAGGAGCTAGATGAGATCCAGTATGTAAATAATTCATTCATCGTGTCTTTTTATGTGAATACCTGGCGCTTGGCAGCAGGTAGGATTAGATAAAGGTAGGTAGACACACCAATGGATGACCTTTACACGACCTTATCACCCCTGGAATAAAATTCAATACCCACTGCAAATGGGTTCTGGGGCTGGGAGCCTGCAGAGGGAGCTGTCTGGCCTCAGGGCATTGATGCAGAAGAGGCTCCACACAGGTCCCCAGACTGAAGGACACTTCTCCCACAGAGCCACCTGCATCACCCAGGCTTGCTAGGAAATACTGTGGTACAGCACAGTAGGAGAGGCTCCCATCAAAAGATCAAGAACCTTGGCAGGAGACAGCATGCTCTGGCAGGCCAGACACTAGCTCCCACAACTGTAATGAGGCCTGCCCACACCCAGCTTTTGCTTCTTCCCCTTGTCACCCAGCAGGGACACTGTTACCACAGAGTGAGGGCAGAACTGAATTATGCACCTGGAGATGGGGTATGACTTTGGTGTGCTGTTCCTCTTTGGGGACCACGGGTTTGTGCGAGGCCTTCTCACCATGCTGGAGAGGCAAGTGTGAGTGAGAATCAGACCTTGGCCCTCTGTGACCAGGCCACTCCATCTCCTCCTTTGCATGATAAAGATGGCAATGGCCCTCCACTCCCAGTTCCTTTACAACTGAGTTGCTTCCAGGATGCCTGGCACCCAGTGTGAGCTGCCATTGCCATGGGGACAGGCAGGACATCAGCAAGATGGGAAGACACATTGCTGGGGGGTGGGGGTGGAGATAAAGTGAGAACAGGCCAGGAAGCCCAGCTGCAGGCCGAAGCCCTTCCCAGGGGGTTGTTTCTTTGACCCGAGACTGCTCCTGGCCTTCAGCATCAAAGCTCCGTTCCTGGAGGGAGCTTTCCCTTTACCTTTTTACCCAGGCTCCATTGCTGGCTAGCCAACATTCTGGATGACAGCCGACTCAAGGGCTGTCCTCACCTGGGGAATCTCTCGTCCAGCTATCCTTGGGCCAGGCTATCCTGGTCTTTCCACAGCCCTCACAAATTGGAGAATAAACTTAAATTTAACTGAACACACTTGAGTCCCTCTCATGCCGGTAGGGAAACTGCGGGGAGAGACACTAAGAATAATACTGAACACCTGTGTGCCAAGCTGGCGCTGTGGCTTTGCGCTCCAGATCAGCCTTGCTTCCTCCACTTTATAAGCCACGAATCTGAAGCACAGAAGGGCAACCCAGGGTCAGCTGCTTTCACCAAAATCAAGCTGGTTCGATGGCTAAGCATTCATTATACCTTGTTATCTTTCGCCTTGAGGAATCCAGCAGGAAGATTCAGCTCATAACCCTCACACATTGTCTAACTGTATGGCTTGTCCATTATATAAGCAAAAAAAAAAAAAAAAGTATTTGCAAAATAGAAAATGTGAACTAGGTCTAGAACTAGGTATCACTAAGTATCAGCTATAGGATTTAGTAACCCTCAAGTAGTTCAGTTACAGAGGAGATACGAGCCTGTTTTAATTATTAAGGAGGTTTTAAGTTGTTCAGAGTATGGGTAAAAATAGGTAGCCTGATTACATTACAGATAGGCAGCATGCTAAAAATATACCCACACCCCTCAACTTGATCTAACTATGGAAAACTTTTTGGCCATGAAGGCAAATTTTCAGAACAAATGACAGACAAAACTCAAGCACACTGTTTTCCTAAACCAAAAAACAATGTCCCACTGCTTAGCTAGCCTGCTAGTCTGGATTTATTTTATGAAACATGTCAGCAAGGACATCAGAGTACAGTCATGAGTCATCCATCCTTCCAAAGAATCATTCTCTAAAGGGGTTCATTCATACAGCCAAAATACAAGCTAGTGGGGGGGAAAACACTCTGAGGTAGAAAGGAGTGATAAGAAAAATGTATATGGAGAACATATATTATCCATCCTTCCTCATGGCCTTTTCTCCCTATAAAACACCAGTGACAGGCAAATGGTAGCTGGGTACCCAGCGGTCTGCTTTAAGTAAGCAATGCTACGTTCTTGGCATGCATTCCCACAGCACTGCAGCACTACTGCAGCTCACGCTGACCCCCAAACCTGTACATCACCTCACACACCTTCACCACCTTCCGCTTCATCAGCACCATCGAGCATCGGATGACCCAGGGCACATGCCCACCACAGTCCTTTCTGATACACACGAGCTTAGGCTAGACAGACAGACAGACAGACGGAACAAAACACACACCCCAGCCCACCAAGTGAACCCACCAAGACCCAGAAGGCTCATCTAGACCCATGGGGTTAGACTATGAACCTCACGTGGTGTAGGATTTAACATAGACCTCCATGGCCTCAGGGTGGGGTCCCTTCACCTCCATCTTCTCCCCGCTTCAACATTCCAAAAGCCCTTTGTCTAGGCAATACCCCCCAACAGCCCACCCACCCAACTCAAGGAGTTACCAGGTCTGTCTGACCTTGCCAGGTGATGGAGATGGGGACCGACTGCTGGTAGGAACGAAGGCATAGGTGGCCCATCAAATTTAAACACATCTCCCCCTTCAGCGGCTGGCTCAAGGCAGGAGGGGGCAGCTTTAAGGGCTGAGGAGGCCCTAAGGCTCCTCTGGCTGGGGAGTTTCCCAGAGTGACCTCAAACTGCTTACTCAGAGGCACAGGCAGGCTGGAGAGGGCTTTTCCTGTGACAGCCACCACTGGAGTTTAAAACCCCCTCTCTGTGCTGGGAACACACACACACACACACACACACACACACACACACACACACACACACACGAGTGCCTGCCTAGTATCCACTCCAGAGCACATCTGCCTAAGTAAAGCTCTCTACTCTCAGCAGCATGGACAAGATCCTCACCCTTGAAGCCCCACTGACTGAATCTCGGGCGTCTAGGGAGAGAAGAGGGAGGTGGTAGGGAAAAGGCTTTACTTCTCTCTTGCAGCCTCGGTGAAGGCTGAAGCTTGCCTCCCTCTACTAAAAGATGGCTGGCCTCTATCTAGGTTGAATTCTAGTGCCTGGGCTTCCGAGGGCCAGTCCCCAGCACAGAGAGGGGAAGGTGTCTCCCTTGGGACATCAGCCTGGGCAGAGTCCTTCCTGATGCTGAACTGCTGGCTACACACAGGGTGCGAAATGCCTCTTCCTGTCCGACTCTGGCTAAATTCTTTGTCCCGCGTGTGAGGGCAAAGGAGCCTCGGACCCAAGACTGGGGCTAGTGTAGGGGCTGAGCTTCGAGCTCAGCCATCTAAGCTGCACTCAGCTAGGGCTTGAGGAAGGTAAATGTAGCTCAAGCGACGGGGCCCTCCTGCCCAGCCCGGTCAGCCCGCCAACTCACCCCAGGGAGGGGCTCTCCGGAGTGGATGTGGATGTGGATCCGGCCCCGGGGTCGCGGGGACCCAGCCAGCCGCCGCCTTCCTGCCGCGCTCTCAGCGCGTCCCGGTGCAGTGCCGGCTGCCGCCGCCGCGCTGAGCCCGCGAGGAGGGCGGTGCTGGGGTGGAAGATGCGCTGCGCCGGGGGCCCGCCTCCCCGCCGCGCCCGCCGCTTCAGCACCGCGGACAGCGGCCAGCCCCGCGCACCAGCGGCCTCGCCCGGAGGTCCGCGCCCCGCCCGCGCCCCAGGCCCCTGCCGCCGGGCTCCAGGCACCCGGCTGGACAAAGGCGAGCTCTCGTGGAGGGACCCGCGAGGGCGGCGAAAGCGCAGCTCAGCCTCTTAAAGCGCACCGGCGTGGTCGGGAACCGGACCCGGCACCCAGGGCGTTATCTGGGCCCAATCAAGGTCGGAGGAGGCTGGCCCCTCGCGTGGGTCCAGCATGGGAGGGGCCCAGAGAAGGTCGGTGCTCAAACCTCATCTCTCCCGCTATCATATATTCTGGATGTGTCTTGTGAATTAGAGGTTGGGATAAGGAGTGTTGGGGTTCCATCCAGCCTGCAATTTGACTTCCTCCCATCCACCGCCCCATCCTTGGTGTCAATCAACCAACAGATGGGACTGCTAGAGCTTGGTGACATCACCCAGGGCCACTTCCACGTTGTTTTCATTTCTGTTAAAAATCCCTTCTGCTGTTCCTTGTTCCCAACCAGAAGTCCCCGGATGAGATGGAGGTGTCCTTGTTCTGACTTGGCTCCCGGCACAGACCAGCAACATGACCCTTAGCCTCGTTTCTCCTGGGGGTGGAAGGTGTTCTGGCTCTAATCCAGAAAAAACTCAGTCCAGAGAACCCACAGTGGGTGGCCACCGAGGCCCCACCCCTCCTGGCTTCTCTTAAGCCTTCCAGAATCGAGGCGAGGAGACCCCTTCCTTGCCTGAACTAAATTGGCAACTCTTGCCTAATTCTTTTTACGCCACAACTTTTTCTCTCATTAGTTAAAATCCAGAGGCATTTTTATTTTTACCTCTGGCCGACATCCCCGCCCCTTATTTGAAGGGGAAAGATGGAACACAGCAATGTAAAAGTCTAGGTTCAAAAATCCTATCCAAGAGCATGGATTCTGCACAGGCAGCAGACAGTGGCTGCTAGGAAAGAATGTGGTCTGAAACCAAGAAGGGCACAGCTGGACCAGAAACAGGCTCCCAGGCAGAAGTGCCTTCTTTTTCACAAGGAAGAAGAGTAACATGCCCTGCTTTAAGAAGATGGAACCACTAACTCTTTGAAAATTACTTCCCCTCCCTTCCTTCCTTTTCTTTTTAAAAATAATGTGCTGTCAAGACTCAGAAGGAAGAAGTTAAAACGTGCCCAGAGCATCCGGGTCCATGGCTTCCTGCTGCAGTCAGCATAGACCTCTAGAGGACAAGGCACCAGGTGGACGTGGCATTCAGGTCTTTCTTTGTGCATTTCCTTATTTGGAATAGGATGTCAGGATTTTGTGACGAAGGATTCCTTCAATTTAGTTCCTTTGTCTAATTTATGGCAGGCTCAGCATTTCCTAGCATGTCTGCACCCTCACATCAAAGACCAGCCAGGGCCCCAAAAAGGCTCACTCTCACATACATACAAGCATGCACACACTTATGCATGTGCGCACATGTGAGTGCAAGCACACACACACACATACACACAACCACTAGAACAAAGTTAAAAATTTCCAGTCACACGTCTATATTTATACAGGGCTCCAAAAGATTCAAGATTTGAAACAGAAACAATCCAAGCCATATAGCAAGATTTAAAATGTGGCCGGGCAGTGGCAGCGCACGCCTTTAATCCCAGAACTCGGGAGGCAGAGCCAGGTGGATCTCTGTGAGTTCGAGGCCAGCCTGGTCTACAGAGGGAGATCCAGAACAGGCACCAAAGCTACACAGAGAAACCCTGTCAAAAAACCAGAAAAAAAAAAAAAAAGATTTAAAATGTGTCTGGTTAATCCACTATTTTCTGGTTCTGGAGAAGCTTAAAAACTAGAACTCGAATCACTATTCCCACCCAGAGGCTGGAAAACACTGCTGCGCCAGGCCCTCCCTCTCCTTCAATCCCTTGCATGGGGTGGAACAGGGTGGGGTGGGTGGGGTGGGGTGGAGGGGATGAAGGCCCTTTGACCTCTCCATAGGCTCTCACCCTGGTGAGCAGTCAAGGATTACCAGTGATGTTGACCATGTCCACCAGATCAGCCTATACCACCATCTTTACCACAGATGTTGTGCTAAAACCAAGACAGTCCACAACCACTGTTCCAGCCCAGCCCCACTGCTTCACGTCCTGTGGCCCTGAGCCACAAGCACACCCACAGTTCATTCTCTCCACCGCCTCTGTACTGCTGGTTTTACATCAACTTGACACAAGCTAGAGTCATCAGAGAGGAAGGAGCCTCAGGTGAGGAAATGCCTCCAGGAGATCCAGCTCTAAGGCATTTTCTCAATTAGTGACCAACCAGCCTATGGTGGGTTTTGTCATCCCTGGGCTGGTGGTCCTGGGTTCTGTAAGAAAGCAGGCTGAGCAAGTCAGGGGAAGCAAGTCGGTCAGTAGCACTCCTCCATGGCCTCTGCATCAACTCCTGCCCTGTTTGAGGTCCTGTCCTGACTTCCCTTGGTGATGAACAACAATGTGGAAGTGTGAGCCAAACCGACCCTTTCCTCCCCTTCATGGTGTTTGGCTGCAGCAATAGAAACCCTGACTAGGACACCCTCACAGCCAAGCCCTCCTCAGCCCGTCCTTTCCTTAAGTTACCAGCCCCCTCCTCTCTCTCTCTTTGAACCCCTGCTTCCCATCTAATCCCCCAGCATATTTACAGAGTCCAGCTAGATCACCATGGTGGAGGCTCTCATCCAAGTGTCTCACAGTACCCTTGAGTTGTGCTCAGTACTTCTGGAATGAGCAAACCTAGGCTGGGCAGACTGGGAATGGCAGAATTTGAAATGTTCTTTGGGAGTTCATCTAATTCCTATGTCTGGCCACAGGCACCCTCTCTCCACTCCCAGTTCACACCCTGTCAGTCAACCTAGAGAGATTTGGAGCAGGTCTGTCTTCTTGGTAGGCAGGGAAGAGAGGCTCCACAGTTACAGACACCATGCACAGCACAGCACTCTCCAGGGTGCTTAATGGTCCATGAAGGTATCTGGAAGTAGGACCCTTCCAGGAAGTACAAACAAAATGTCATAGCAAAGAGAACCCACAAGACAGGCAGAATGGCCTATCGCGCCCTAGCCATGCCCCAAAGCCACAGTCGTGGTCAGTGGCTACAGCAGTAGTGAGAAGAACAGGTGAGCCGCATCCACTTCTGTAGAATTGAAAGGGCCTTCGTGACATTCTTCCAAGCTGTAACGGATGTGCTGCTAGTCTAGGAACAGAGCTCTGCCAGCCAGAGCTCAAGAAGGGTCACAAGTGACATGGACACTAGGTCATGCTGCTCTCTGTACTCAGTGTAATAAGAAGACATAGGATTGGCTGACTTCTGCCATGCCTTTCTGCTTTTAAAACCCAGTGCCAGGCTGGGCGGCGGTGGCACACGCCTTTAATCCCAGCACTCAGGAGGCAGAGGCAGGCAGATCTCTGTGAGTTCGAGGCCAGCCTGGTCTACAGAGTGAGATCCAGGACAGGCACCAAAACTACATAGAGAAACCCTGTCTCAAAAAACAAAACAAAACAAAACAAAACAAAAAACCCAAAACCCAGTGCCTTGGGGACTGTGGAGATGACTGAGTCAGAAAGGTGCTTGCCGTCCAAGCAGGAGGACCTGAACTCAATTCTTAGCACCCATAGCTGGGTATGGGATTTGCGCTTATAATCCCAGCACCAAGAAGGCAGAGACAGGCAGATCCCTGGGGCTCAGTGGCCAGCCAGCCTAGCCTAGACACGGGTCCCAGTGGGAGATTTTGTCCCAGAAAACAAAGTGGATGGCACTCAAGGAACAATACTTGAGGCTGACTTACACACACACACACACACACACACACACACACACACACACACACACGAGAGAGAGAGAGAGAGAGAGAGAGAGAGAGAGAGAGAGAGAGAGAGAGTCAGACAGACAGAGAGAATGGTAAAATGTGAGAGAAGCCTTCAATGTTAAGGAGATAGGTAGGTGCTGTGGGGGAGGGAGTCTATGAGACGGAACAGCCTGGAAACTGAGAGTCACTGTTAGGGAGGTTTGTAATACAGAAGAGCCCGGGGGCTAGTGCGGAGCTGTGATACGCGTTACAGGTAAGTGCTAACGGGCTAGTGCGGAGCTGTGATACGTGTTACAGGTAAGTGCTAACGGGCTAGTGTGGAGCTGTGATACGTGTTACAGGTAAGTGCTAACAGGGGCTAGTGCGGAGCTGTGATACGTGTTACAGGTAAGTGCTAACAGGGGCTAGTGCGGAGCTGTGATACACGTTATAGGTAAGTGCTAACAGGGGCTAGTGCGGAGCTGTGATACGTGTTACAGGTAAGTGCTAACAGGGGCTAGTGCGGAGCTGTGATACACGTTACAGGTAAGTGCTAACGGGCTAGTGCGGAGCTGTGATACACGTTACAGGTAAGTGCTAACAGGGGCTAGTGCGGAGCTGTGATACGCGTTACAGGTAAGTGCTAATAGGGAACTAAGTGCTCCATTCATCTGATGTAGGGGCAAGTAAGGGAGGGAGTGGATGTGGTAGTTTGATTGAGAATGGCCCCCACAGACTCATATATTTGAATGCCTAGTCACCAGGGAGTGGCACAATTTGAAAGGATGAGGAGGTGTGGCTTTGGTGGAGGAAGTGTGTCACTGGGGGTGTATCACTGGCTTTGAGGATTCAAAAGCCCCAGCCAAACCCAGTGTCTCCCTCTCTGTCTATGGATCAGGGTACAGCTCTCAACGACTTCTCCAGCACCATGCCTGCCATACCTGCTGCCATGCTTCCTACCATGATGATAATGAACTAAACCTCTGAAACTATAAGCCAGACCTAATTAAATGCTTTCTTGTGTAAGAGTGGCCTTGGTCATGGTGTCTCTTCACAGCAATAGAACAGTGACTAAGACAGAAGTTGGTACCAGGGAGAAGGCTTTGCTGTGACAGGCCTGAACCATGCTGCTTGTGGCAGAATGTGGACTTTGGACTTTGGATTAGGAAAAGAGTTGAATGCTTCAAGCAGGGCTTAATGGGCCATCCTAGTAAGAGAATGGAAGACAGTGCTGAGGGCAGTTTGAATGGTGGGGTGCCCAGCTCAAGAAGTTTCAGGGGAGAAGAATATATTGGCATGTGACTTAGAGATCACTCTTGGGATATTTTCACAAAGAATGTGGCTGCTTTTTGTCCTTGTCCAAAAAAGTCTGCCTGAGGCTAAATAGAAGAGTTTTTGGATTAATGGTGTTGGCAGAGGAGATTTCAAAACAGCCTAGTATTGACAATGTCATGTGTGGTCACTGTTATGCAGATGAATAATAAAAAGGTGCAGGCTAAGAAAGGAAAAATACAAAATGTACAGTTTGAGGAGAAAAGGAGCAGTAGGAAGTATAATGGAGCTAAATCCTGTGCTCAAGATGATAAAAAGATTAAAGAAAAGCCTGATGCTAAATGGAATAAAAGGAGTGGTGGCCTCAGGAAAAGACTCCACTCAGCTAAGCTTCCAACTTGTGACAGAGAATGAAAAAACAGCTTAAGTTACCATGAAGAAACCATCTAAAACAGAAAGCTGATGAAAATATAATTGATTGAGGGCCAAGTTCTAGTCCAGCAAGCAGAAGAATGTGGCAGCTTCGGCCACATGGTTCTGGCTCTAGAGTGAAGGATACAAGAAAGGAGTTGTGGAATCTCTCTCCATGGCTAAGGAAGCCACTGAGGTCAGATGTGTGTCAGGGGTGTCCCTAAATGGAGGCCTAGAGAGGCCATTGTATGAAGCTGTGAAGGAAACCTGGATTGCCTTGGAGATTCCATGATGTTAGAGATGCCAGAGCCATGGGATACCTTCTGAAGAAAGCTGCTAACAGTGAGTGGAACCAGCCCAAGAGAGAGAAGTGTTTGGTAGTCAACAAAGCTAAAAAGGTGTTGGAGATCTGAAGAGCGCTTTGACATCAGACATGGAAATGCAGAGTTTGGAGTTTGTTCTGCTGGCTTTCAGTCTTGCTCTCGTCCAGTATTTTCTCACTATGCTCCTTTTCCACCCTTTTGGAATGCTAATGTATATTCTGTGCCATCATATGAATTTTATAACGGGAGGTTACAGTTGAGAGCATGTCATGAGTCTCAGAAGAGACTTTGAATTTTTAAGCAGTGTTGAGACTGTTATAGACTATGGGGACTTTTGAAGATAGACTGAAAGCTTTTCTGCACATGATGGCTACAAGCCTATGGGGGCCAGGGAGTGGAATGTGGTGATTTAATAAGAATGGCCTCCATAGGCTCATCTATTTGAATGCTTAGTCATCAGGGAGTGGCACTACTTAGAAGGATTAGTAGGTGTGGCTTTGTTGGAGGAAGTGTGTCACTGGGGGTGGGCTTAGAGGTTTCAGAAGCCTAAGCCAGGCCCAGTCTTTCTCTCTTCCTGCTGCCTGCTGATCTGGATGTAGAACTCTCAGCTACTTCTCCAGCACCATGTCTGCCTGAGTGTTGTCATGCTCCCCAACATGATGATAATGGACTAAACCTCTGAAACTGTAAGCAAGCCCCAATTAAGTGCTTCCTCTTATAAGAGTTGCCTTAGTCATGGTGTCTCTTCACAGCAATGGAATAGTAACTAAGACAGAGCATAAGTGTGAAATGGAATCTTAACCACCCACAAAAATTAGCTCAAAATGGGTCAGGGATTGAAATGTGAGAGTTAAAATTATAAACTCAAACACAAAGCAAAAGCTTCATGATGTTTGGATTAGAAAAGGTCCTTAGATGTGACAACACAGCCACATGTACCCAACTGAAAGTAGACAAAATCAACTTCACAGAAATTTAAAATATTATGCATCAAAGCATGCAACCAACAGAGAAAAGCAATCCACAAAATGTGAGAAAATACTTGCAAACCATACATTAGACGGGGTGGTGGGGGGAGTGGTAGAATTCATATCTAGAACACAGACACTCCTAAAACTAAACAACCACCTCTTGATTAAAAAGTCAGTCCACTAGGGAGCAGCAAGATGATTCAGTGGGTGTGAATGCTTAGTCATCAGGGAGGGGCATTACTTGAGAAAGATTAGGAGGTGTGGCCTTGCTAAAGGAAGTGTGTCACTGGGGGTGTGGCCTTGCTGGAGGAAGTGTGTCACTAGGGGTGTGTTTAGACGTGTCAAGAGCCCAAGCCAGGCCCAGTATTTCTTCCTGCTGCCTGCCGATCTGGATGTAGAACTCTCAGCTACTTCTCCAGCACCATGTCTGCCTGCTGCCATGCTCCCTGCCATGATGATAATGGACTAAACCTCTAAAACTGTAAGCCAGCCCCAATGAAATGCTTTCTTTTATAGGAGTTGCTGTGGTCATGGTGTCTCTTCACAGCAATGGAACACTAAGACAGCACATAAAGATGTTTGTTACTAAACCTGACAAATTGAGTTCAGTTCCCCCAAAACCCACAAAATAGAAAGAGAACTGACTCCCAAACTTGTTTTTTGGACCTCCACACATGTACTGTGGCATGCTTGCATGCACACAAGAACAAACAGGTATGGAATGCTTGTGTGTGTGTGTTTTATACACACAACAAAATAAATTCAATAAGTGAACAAACAACTTGAGTAGACCATGTACCAAACATACATGAATGGTTGATAAACATGTGAAAAGAGGTCCAATTCACTGATGACAGGAATACAAGTCAGAAGTACAGTGAGATATCACAGGCATCCGTTACCATGGCTACTAAAGCAGATGAGGACCAGAATCTGGAGAATCTGGAACTCTTACACTGATGGGAATAAAAAATGGTGTAGCTGTATGATTCCTGAATATAGTCAGCTACTCTGTGACCTGGCAATTCCATGCCTAGGCAATTCCATAAACATACCCAAGGGACTGAAAGTAGGGGTGGGGGGTTGTTGAGAAGTACCTTATACCAGTGTTCATGTCAGCGTGGTCCACAGAGCTGACATGCAGATGACACCAGTGTCCATTGCCAGATGAATGGATGAACAAAATATGACACATGCCTATGATGGAATACTATTCAGCCTTTAAAAGGAAGAAAGTTCTGGCTCATGTTATAACATGGATGAACCTTGAGGACACAATGCCAAGTGAAGTAAATCCATCACACAATGATACCATAGGATTCACTCATGTGACGTTCCTAGAGAAGTCAAATCCATAAAGGAGACAGTAGAATAGTGTTACTGGAAATAGGGGGCTACAGAAAATGAGGAAATGGGAAGTCATTATTTAATGAGCATAGAGTTTCAGTTTTTCAAGATAGAACAAGTTCTAGGGGGTGGGTGGAGATGAAGGCTGCCCAGGTATTAGTGTACTGAATGCCACTGAACTTTCACGTTTAACGATCGATAAGATGACTGGCAGTTGGTGGCTGCTGAGGGAGGAGGAGCCATTTTTCCTTGGGGGTGTGGCCACTGGTAGGTTGCTGATGCTCATCCAGCAGCACTAGTTGGACTCATGGGCTATAAAAAAGAGAAAGAGGACGGACATGAAGGTCTGGAGGGAGGGTGAGGGGGCAGCAGAGGGGGAACATAACCAACATACGTCATATATCTGTGTGAAATGGTCAAGACATACGTAAAGACATTTAAAATGGTTATTTTATATTTATGTATTTTACTTTGAAACTTATTTTTTGCATGTACATATATGTATGGTGTCTGTGCCTATGTGGATGCATTTGTGTGTGGAGTCCACATGTCCTCAGTCAGTTTCTGCCTTATATATTGAAGCAGAGAATGTCCCTGAACCTGAAACTCTGGCTCAGCTAGCCTAGTTAGCCAGCTTGCCTCAAGGATCCCATTTTCACCTTCCAAGAGCACTGTGATTACAGGTGAGCTGTCATACCTGCCTAGACTTTATGTGGGTTCTGGGGACATGAATTCCAGTTCTCACAATTGAAGGGCAAACACTTTATCCACTGAACCATCTCTTCAGCCCTTCATTTATGGATTTGACTACAATAAAATCTTTTTAAAACCAATGATTGTCTGAAGTATATATATATATATATATATATATATATATATATATATATATATATATATTAACAAAGAGTGAAAGCAGGGCATGGTGGTTGTGTGGTTTGAAAAAAAGAATGGCCCCCAAAAGGAGTGGCACTATGAGGAGGGTGGCCTTGTTAGAGGAGGTGTGTCCTTTTTGGAGGAAGTGTATCACTGTGGGGGTGGGCTCTGAGGTCTTCTATGCTCAAGATACCGCCTAGTGACAGTTGTTTCTGCTGCCTGCAAACCAATATGAGTTTAGAACTCCAGCACCATGTCTGCCTGCATGTCACCATGTCCTGCCATGGTGATAAAGGACTAAACCTCTGAAACTGTAAGCAAGCCCCAACTAAATGTTTTCCTTTATAAGAATTGCCATGATCATGATGCCTCTTCAAAGGAATAGAAACCCCAACTAAGATAGTGGCATACACCTTTAATCCCAACACTCAGCAGCAGGCAGAGACTCAGGCCAGCCTGGTCTACATAGTGAGTTCCAGTGCAACCAGAGCTACATAGTGAGACCTTGTCTCAAAACCAGAGTAGAAGAGAATGTCAAATAACAGTGGGTAGTTGAGTTGAATACCAAAGGTATTTCCTTTGTAAATGAGTTTAAGCTCATACTGTTTCAAAACTTGTGATACATAATAATAACTAAGATCAGGGAAAACAAAGATTCTGGAGAGATGGTTCAGTGTTTAAGAACACTGGCTGCTCTTCCAGAGGATCTGGGTTCTATTCCCAGCATCTGCACAGTAGCTCAAAACTATCAGTAACTTCAGTTCTAAGGGATTTGACACATTCCTCTGGCTTCCAAGGCACCAGGTGCACACACACACACACACACACACACACACACACACACACACACACGCAGACAAATGCACATAGAATAAATTTATTTTCTAAAAATTGAAATAAAGATTTTTCAGACAAAACAAGACAAAAAGCAGACTTCGCTGCCAGTAGAAATGATAACAAGAAATACTAAGAGCTCTTAGAATAATGGAAATGATCTCAGATGTGTCAAGCAATGTAGAAAAGGATAAAGATTATTTAAAATGTTTAAAATGCAGCTAAATATAAGTAAATATTAATCTATATGGATCTAATTATGGGTGGGGATGTAGCCCAGTAGTAGAGAGAGCTTGCCATGCCCTAGATCCCATCCCCAACACCACCTAAAACAAAAGACCAGCCACCTGAACTTTGTGGGATTCACACATAACAAAAGGAGGAGAGAGTGGACATGGGAACTGCCCCTGCTGAGGCAGCCCTGAGTTTCTTGAAAGGAGGAAAAACAATAAGGTAGACTAAAATGTATCAAAGAATCATACTGTAAACTTATTCAAACAGTCTAGGGCCAGGTGGTGGTGGCACACGCCTTTAATCCCAGCACTCGGGAGGCAGAGGCAGGCAGATCTCTGAGTTCAAGGCCAATCTGGTCTACAGAGTGAGTTCCAGGACATGAACCAAAACTACACAGAGAAACCCTGTCTCAAAAAACAAAAACAAGGGGCTGGAGAGATGACTCAGAGGTTAAGAGCACTGGCTGTTCTTCCAGAGGTCTTGAGTTCAATTCCCAGCAACCACATGGTAGCTCACAACCATCTATAATGAGATCTGGTGCCCTCTTCTGGCCTGCAGGTATACATGCAGACAGAACACTGTATACATAATAAATAAATCTTAAAAAAAAATAAAAAATAATTTTTTTTAAAAAGCAAAAAAGAAAAAAAGGAAGAAAAAAACATAATTTAAAAATAAAATCAATAGAGAGAATGAAATACTTTTAAATTCTTGATTAATAATTTTAAATATTAGACAGAAGGAAATCCACATTGAAGTGGGATTTCCTCCCTTTTTTTTTTTTTTTTTTTTTTTGGTTTTTTGAGACAGGGTTTCTCTGTGTAGCTTTGCGCCTTTCCTGGATCTCGTGCTGTAGCCCAGGCTGGCCTCGAACTCACAGAGATCCGCCTGGCTCTGCCTCCCGAGTGCTGGGATTAAAGGCGTGCGCCACCACCGCCCGGCGATTTCCTCCCTTTTTAAGGCTGAATATATCCCTCTATAATATATCCTCCTATAGTACATTCCTCTATAAAATATCCCTCTATAATACACTCTTCTCTGCGGCTCACGTCACTGAGGGTTGTCATCACCTCTGAATGCGGCTGTAATATACAACCTGAGTCGTTCCGGCCTTTGGTTTTCAGGGGACAGTGAACAGGATGGAGCGAGAACAGGGAGGTCAGGCAGATCTGATGGCGGCCGACTGGCTCTGCCCCTTAGAAGCTCTGCTTGGACAAGTCATAAAACACAATGACATGAAGGGTAAAGCAGGGTCCCGTGGCGGTCTCATCAGTGTGACTCTCATACACACTCCACCGGCCTTCAGAGTTCTGGTGCAGAAGCCACCCGCCCGAGGCTTCTGCCCTCAGACTGTTCACGTCTACCTAGCACGCAAGACGACAAACTGAAAACCCCAGCAGCCACCAATCAACTTGTAGCTTCATAAACCACGTTGCCAAACAACGGTAACTGGCGGAGAGCATTTCACATTCCACTCAACAAGTCTCTATCTGGCGGCACTAAAGCCCTGCACTGGGGGCAAGTCGGCTGGGAACGATTCACGCCTAGAAGCAAAGCTAGTGAAGCCCAGAGAGGATTCAGTAGGAAGCACCACTACAGATTTGTGTATGGATAGCTGAGTGTCGGCCGGCAGGCAGCCTCAGCAGGGAGGCTCACAAGCTGGGTTCCTTCCACAGACAGTGCTGAAGCTGGCTAGTCCAGGACTGCTGCCCTCACCAGCTGCTTCTCCACCAGATACTGCTTCTCCACCAGATACTGCTTCTCCACCAGCTGCTGCTTCTCCACCAGCTGCTGCTTCTCCACCAGCTGCTTCTCCACCAGATACTGCTTCTCCACCAGCTGCTGCTTCTCCACCAGATACTGCTTCTCCACCAGCTGCTGCTTCTTATGGAAATTGGTAGCTGAAACCTGCATGTGGCTCCTGAATAGTCAACATTTTGCTGTTTTCATAAATGTGTATCACTTTTTAAAGAATGCCATTCTGAGTTTGCTTCTGTATGTTGGTGATATTTATGTATTTACCCATTGGTTTGGAGTCAGGGAGGAGAGCAAGTGGGTTCTTAATCAAGGCATGTACTAACGACTCCTCAAAGGTCCACTGGTGGAATCCCGTCCTTCCGATTGGCCTAGCCGAGGCTCCCGGCCATTCTGCAGCCTGCTGCTCCTTATCCACACAGAATGAAGGTCCACTGTGTTCCTCAAGACTGTGGCCCTGGCATCAACAAGACCAAATGGAGCACAACCTGGTCCCTGGTTATCAAGCCCTTGCCCCTGAAGATGAGCAACATATAAAACAGGGACCCCTGGGCTGCAGGTGAGATTCCTTTGGAGAAATGGACACTTAAAAGCTTATCATAGCCGGGCGGTGGTGGCGCACGCCTTTAATCCCAGCACTCGGGAGGCAGAGCCAGGCGGATCTCTGTGAGTTCGAGGCCAGCCTGGGCTACCAAGTGAGTCCCAGGAAAGGCGCAAAACTACACAGAGAAACCCTGTCTCGAAAAACCAAAAAAAAAAAAAAAAAAAGCTTATCATAAAGAAAGTTGCCAGGTGCTGCAGGCCGCAGGAATATATTATAAGAACTCAGCTGGTTATGGCAAAGTCACTACCTGGAGGGATCAAGGAATTCCTCCAGAGGAAGCCAAATCCCAAGGAGTTTTTGGTGTTAATTGGTTTGTTATATATCAGCTGTATTCTGTTATGAAAGTCATGTGTGCCTTCATAGTTTTCCCAATTGACTTTTCCCCAAGAAGGGCTAACAGTGTGGACTGATCACTCTCTGGAGTGATTGGTATCTCCAGGTATTTGGAGAACAGCCTCAGGAAAGGCTTTCTCTGGAATCAGATATCTCCCTTGGCCACTTTCAAGGACTAGCAGTAATAACAGTCCACATGCAAGTCTCCTGATTTAAGGTAAATTCCACAAGGAGACACCACCTAGGTCAGGTGGACGTTAAGTAAAAGCTTTACACAATTTAGCTCGGACCCTCCTTTCTTACAGCCTTACTAACTTTATAGACCTCTAACTCCTTACCTAACCACTTCTAGGAATATTTAGATAACCTCCTGCACTGACAGCTATGCTCAGCCAGAACCCCAGTTCAAGCCTCCCTGTAATTATCATCATTGGCAGCATCTGGCCAGGTCCATCCCCAGATGGAGGAAAGTACCTTATCAGAGGTATCTCCGTACTTTCTAAGAACAGACTTAAGTATCCAGGCTACCTGTTTGAGAAGGCCTGGCGGATATGCCAATTAAGCTTTACTTCCTCCTTTCCCAAACCTTACCTCTAGTTCCAGATCTCCCTTTAACTATCACCAGAGGCATCTAGCTGTACACAGGTTGCCTAGCGACTGAGCACACTTTCCCCCACCCTGCAGAAAAATGGCAGATAGCTTGAACAGATAGGAGCCACAGGAAAAAAGAAGACAGTTTTATTTTCTCCCATTGACCTAGCAACTTATAGATTCTTAACATTTTCTACTAATCACGTTTAAAACTATAGTTGAGCACATAAGAGCCCTCTTCTTAGATATTACCCGAATTTAGCCTTTAGTTAATTCATTTCCCCACTGGTCACTTCCCTTTGGGGTTGCAAATGATAATTAATGGTTATTGGCTCCCTATGTGATTCTTATCACCCCTCTGTTTGACCCTGGAAGCCTGGCTTTATATACCAGGACTTCCAGGGCACGGGGAGACGGAGAAGAGAAAAGAGAATGGAAGAACTAGACGGGTAAGAACTTGAGAGGAACAAACTGAGATGGGGAAGAACTAGACTGAAGGGCTAGAAGAGAGGACTAGAGGAACGAGATGGAAGATGAGGAAGAGTCAGATAGGGAAGTACTAGCTGGGTAAGAACAAGATGAAAAGGACCTAGATGAGGCAGAATTAAGATGAGAGAATTAAGATAGAACTTAGGGTGGCGCACGCCTTTAATCCCAGCACTCGGGAGGCAGAGCCAGGCGGATCTCTGTGAGTTCGAGGCCAGCCTGGGCTACCAAGTGAGTTCTAGGAAAGGCGCAAAGCTACACAGAGAAACCCTGTCTCGAAAAAACCAAAAAAAAAAAAAAAAAAAAAAAAAAAAGATAGAACTTAGAGGAAGCAGTAGATATAGAGAGAAATCAGACAAGAAAGGAGCCAGACATGAGAACAGAACTGAAGCTGGATATAAAGGATGTTATGTCAGAGGAATTAAAGCAAGTGGACTATAGAGCTCGGTGTGCTGAGATTCTGTTTCCTGAAAATAGTCCTCACCGTTAGTAGTTCTCTCTCCTGAGCCCCTGGGATGTATAATATTAAGGCTGGTCCCTCTAATATTATACAAGAGCCAGGAACCTCAGAACAATAACAATTTAAAAATTTGGGAGTGAGCAGGCAAAAGTGTGGCCCTCCCTGCTGAAGCCCAGAAGTTAAACCAAACCAAAAGGCTTATCAAGAGGCTGGGGGATGACTCAGCAGGGAAGGACGACAGCTGCTCTTCCATCACTTACATGGTGGCTCACAGCCATTTGAAATTCCAGTACCAGGGATCCAATGCCTTCTGGCCTCTGCAGCCACCAGGCATGCCCATCACATAAAAATCATCTGCCTTCAGATGGCCCCTCACCATATTCGCCACACTCAGCAAATTTCCACACCTCAAGAAAGTTTCTTTCAACTTAGAAAATGTGCTCATGCATCTCTCTCTGTGTCTGTCTGTCTCTCTCTCCAGAAAGTTTCTTTCAACTTAGAAAGTATGCTCATGCATATCTCTCTCTATCTCTCTCAAGAAAGTTTCTTTCAACTTAGAAAGTATGCTCATGCATCTCTTTCTCTCTCTCTAGATGTAATTGGTTGTACCTCTCTAAGCCTGCCTTTAAAATCTAGCTCATAGTACTGCTGAAAAGATGCCTAAAAGCTCCAGGCACACATTTATGAGAGCAAGCAAACACATTCAAATGTATGCACACAGAGACACATCCATATATACACACATGCACACATAGATGCATGCATCTATACACCCAGATGCATACACATATACACACATGTATGCACACATGCATGTATATATACTATAGTACAGAGAGATTCGTGTGTATATATACACACATGCACCTACACACAGATGCAAATGCACACGTAGCTCAAATTCACCCCCACATTGAGGTCTTCTGGGATCCTTGAGACCAATGTGGAGCCACCGACTTTGTCTTCTTGCCTGTGCCCCTCCCTACTACCTTAGAGAATGTGCATGTGAACGGACAAGCATCCAAATCTCTGTACAACACGCACACTATGGTTTCACCTTGTCACACTTCTCCCAGCTCTTCTCTGGCTCTCAAATGTCAGGAGCAGCGATGCCATGTACCGTGTAGGGCTGCCTAGGCAAAGCCTTCCTCACACCTGGGTGTTCATGTCAATGGTGGAACTCGAGAAGACACAAGAATAGCATGCGTGCCTTCCACCACCTACAGCGCCAGGTACGCACATCCAATTGTCACCTGCCACCTAGTCCTTCTGCAGCCCATCCCTTGGTTGCATGGACACAGAGTCCCTTGCTTTCCTCAGATACTGGCCATTAGCACACAACAGCACACATTTCCAATGAGACTCACATCCCCCATCCTCAATAGCACAGCACAAAACAGAGACGCTATCTAAATGAGGAACCGAGACTGCAATTATTTGTCGAGAGCACCCATCCTGCCCAAGGCTCTCGGGGCAGAATGTAAGCCTGGTGCTGCTGTCTGTAAAGACTGTACCAAGTCCCCCTCAGCTGAGCCACTTCCTTCCCCGGGGCCTTATGGTGAAGTCAGCAGGGTTGGCAAATGCTTGCTTGATGCTGGTCGGTCCAGCTGTTCTGGGCTGTTCCAGGGCTCTTTGGGTATTTGGTTTCTGTGAGCTCTGCACAATCTTTTTTTTTTTCTCCTGCCAGTGTCTGGGCCAAATGGGCAGGGCTGATGCTGAGGAGAGCTCACACACTTGTGCTAGCAACTGGCACCTGGAAAGGGTAGAAGAGATGCAGGTCTGGAGGGAGGAGGCTGGCCACGCACCAAAGCGCACAGGGTGTGGTCCCACCTCAGTGGCTCTCTTCCTCCTATTGGGGTGGAGCTTTCTCCCAAAGCCTCTCTCTGCACCCCCAGGATCCACTTCCAAGATGACCCAGTGATTTCCCCCAGAAGCCCCCTCTGCCTCAACGAGCAGATGCAAAGATCAACTGCTCTCCCCGCTCAACACCGGAAGCAAACATTCCCTGCTTATCCTTTCACAGAGCGGCTCTGAGACAGCCAACAGGTTAGTTGGGGCGCACTGCACATGGGCTAATGCCCAGCAATTTTGTGCCCATTTGTTGTGACTCATGTAGATTAGTTCCAAAGCTATTAAAAAAATAAGTGATCTGCCCTCAGTGAAGCCCGGAAGCCAACACAACTTATTAATTAACACAGCTGCTGGCTCTCGAGACTCATTACGCCAAAGCTCCTGTGATAATCTGATTTCCTATGTAATTGCCACATCTCTGCAAGTCTGAGCCATAGCAAAATCATCAGACTGAATCGCAGGGAAGGTTTTGGCTGGTTTGCCAGCTACCCTATTAACTCAAGGCCTTATTGAAAGGAGAGATATGCAAGCTGCTTGCCACCAGCGCCCCCTGGTGGTGGGGCTGTATTTCCCGATGGGTTCTCTCAGAGGAAAACCTTTCATGGGAAGACAGGGGAGCTTTGCATCCAACACTTCAACAGCGATGCCAAGGGATCAACATGGTACTGGGGAAAGAGTAGAGAGGAGGCAGGTGCCAGGCTCAGTATGGTGGAGGTTACTCAGGGAGACTAATTGCTCTTGTCCAGGATTCTGGAGCCAGCCTGTACTACATAAATAATAACATTTTTCCCTTTTCTTTTATGTGCATGGTGTTCTGCCTGCCTGTATTTCTGCATATAGCATGTGTGCAGTGCCTGTGGAGGCCAGAAGAGGGTGTCAGATCCCCTCGAACTAAAGTTCCAGCCGGTTGTA